TGACCAACTCGGGATATGTCCAGAGTCACGGAACGGATTAAGTTCGTATCCCGAGGTACCACTGTATTATCAAGCACCTTCTGGTGGAAAACTAGACCACTGATTTGAACAAAGAGTTGGGTCTTCTCTAAATCTCTCTAACTTAAACAAAGCTATTCATATGAATCTGACAAGATGAAGATGAATGTAGTTCAGGAACCTTACTGGACATGCAATCTGGCTGAAATACTATTTTTCTTAGTACTGACTGACTTGCCCTAAAGCATTTGCCATTTCAGTTATGTTTTAAGTTTAGTTTCCCTTATAAAACTGCTTTTATGTATTGGGAAAAAAAAGAGAGAATCCTGAATTTCATCACAAAACAAATAGGATTAGTCCAAGCGCAGCTACACCTTATTTGACAACTGATGTGCCTGCATACCTTTTCTTGCACACTCTAACAAGAAAAAAAAAAGTTAAGAAATCAACCCCCACAATAGATGCAGGCAAGTGTGCCGCACAGGCTTCAAATGGATGAAGGCAGAGAATATGAACGAAGTATTAGCACCCGGTCTAGGCCATGTTTCCTTCGGCTGAGATTTTTACATCTAAATTGAATGTAGCTGGACTTGGTATAGATTACTTACTCATTGAGCTCTGGCCACTTAGGGAACTCCTCAAACTTTCTACTGAACCACCAGCTTTCAATTTTGGTTTATCCAAAGAATCGGTATCTGGCTGTGGTGCCTGAAGAGACTCTGGCCTTGCATCCAGATTGGGTTCCTGAAAGACAAATACCTCACGACTGATATTTCCCATGCACTCACATATGGAACTGTTAGTTTGTGTGGTTTTAAAACTGTCAGCACCCTAGTAGAATTCACTGCCATGGATCTGGCCTCAACTATGATATAAAAAGCAGCAATTATGTATTATTTCCTTGTTCTCTACCGCTTGTAAGCTAAAAAGAAACTGTAAATGATGAGAAAACAGTGTTCCTGAATCATGAGAAGACCAGGATCAGGGTCACACAGAAAATGGTGTTCTGAAGAGAAACTAAATCCATGTATTCTTCTATAGCTGAAGGAAACCTCTTCCTAATTTGCAACACATGTTTGCATATCTACACAAAGTATCTTGTGGTAAGTGAATCTCACAGGTAAATGTGTTCAGCACCATAGGCTTAGCTTGGTAATTGAATTGCGTTCTTTTTTGCACTTGAAAATCCCACATTTCAAATGTGTCTAATCTATTATTTTAAGATATAGAAAGCTAGGATTTAATCTAGATTTTTGTTTTAAATCTGAAATTTATGCTACTCCAACACTATTCTTGGTTCCCTTTGGAAAGTATTGTATTTAATGTACTTTATAACGTGTTCAGAGTTTTTAGTATGAAACATATATTTTATAATAGTACTTTGAACTACTTTATAATTCTATTCTTATACCAAGATCATAACTAGTAAGAGTTGGAATGTGTTTTTCTTATAAACTATTTATTTTACACAATGTGATGCAATGGTATACATATTTACTTGCAAGTAAGTCCTACTGTGTTACATGTATTCTTTGCAAATGTACATAAAGTGTACAAAAATATATAAATCACTTGCATGGGCAATTTTTAACTTATTTCTAATCAAACCATGCCATTAATTACACTCATCTGAGTCTAGCATCCATGTCTGTGTATCTACTTGTAATTTTGCTGTTGCGTTATGTTTGCTAGAACTGTCTTGCCTTATGAACCTTGGAATCAGGCTTTTCACATATAATTTGCTAAAGATGTTTAATACAATGTAAACTGAATGATTGATGAAGTAACGAAAGCAGTATTATTATGAGTAAATAACCTAAAGCATCATTGTGTGTAGGTGGTGCTAAAATGAATGTATCTAATAATCTAGTACTGCAATTTGGTTTTGAAAATGGTAAACGAAACAAAAATCCTTTATATGGAAAGTAATAGGCATTTTATGTCTTCCTTCCTTCTTTCATTCCAATACCAAGACAGATCCAAAAGGATTTGAACAATAATTTTCAGACCGATCTGCACTTAGAAGAGTATGTTAGTGTGCGGATATATGTGTGTTTGCACATCTTCAGGATAAAGAAAGCACTTCTTTGATAGAAGGCGATACAGAAAAATAATGTTGTAGACCATTCTGGAATATCTCAGCAAATAATTAAAGAAACCTGCTGATATTCAAGAATTGCTGGCTATTCCACTGACATGCAATCACAAACTGTCCGATGAAGCCTATTATTTGTATACTGCAGAGTCATCGGGAAATATCTTCCCACAAATCAAGCCATTCTCCAGAGAGAACCAAAGCCACAGACTCTTAGTTAGGAAGTGCCTTCCATTTTTCCTAAGGTCTATATTTCTTATACTTTAAATAATTTTGCTGCCATGCAGACTCATCCATACATTCTTATTACAAAAGTATTAGTCACTGGAGCCATTGGACTGGGCCATAAAACCAGGTACTACTGCTTTCCCAATTCTAAAATTGTAAGATCGTCAACAAAAGCAAAACTCTTGGGAGGAACAGAGAACCTGTTGTTTTCTATCTACATTATGGGCTACATCCAATGTATGCATGAATTTCTCCTTCTACAGAATTTCTCCTTCTCATGGCTACCCCTGATCTCTGCATGCACCTGTGAAAGTAGCTTCAGAAAGTCCAACTTTTTGCAGATTTGGGAGGATCTGAAAGGTGGGGATTAAAAATCCATTTTGCCAGCCAAGTGACATTATTAGAAATATTGCCGCTTTTCTTGCTTATAGTTTTGAGGGAAGCTATTAAACGTAACAAACATCCTCATCTCAAACCAGCTATCTGAGAATGTATCCGTACGCACCACTGGGCTGGCAGTCCTAGAGCAGATCGTCCCTCCTGATTACAATACTTTAAAATAAAATCACCTAAACATTTTTAAAGCATTCAATTTTTCAGAGTGGCTTTTGATATAGAACAAGGTATTCTATTTTAGTAAATGCACATAGTAAATTCATTTTTTAAAACAATTGCAGCCTTTTTAAAAGACATGTAGAATTGTTAACTCTCTTTGAAAGGCTGGGGTTCAGAAACTTAAAAAAAAAAACAACTATCATCCCGTCTTAAATAAGCTGTGAGGAAGTGCTCTTCCTTCTGATTATTATGAAGCAGTATGTAAAACTTGGGGTTGTGATATTTGCTTTTCTTTGACTAAAATTAACAGCAGGGGCAGGGATGGGGGATTTCTACTATGGAAGGAGGATTTCCTTGCAAACATTTCACTATATTGGCACAACAGTCAATGTCAGAATCCAGCAGGCTACGACATTTGTACTGCCGCTGACAGCATCACAAGAAATTGTGCTATTTTCATCTGGGACTCTGGTACTTCTGGGATGGTCTGCTGGATAACAGAGGACTTCAGGACAGACGGTAAGGACTGCCTCATTTCTGCATAGATCCACAGACTATTTATTTATTTGCAGCAACTAACAGCTCCAAATTCACAATGAAAGGGTATTGTACCTCCATGGGGTGTTCCTACCTTGAAATCAGTCCCATATCATTACAGATAAGAGTGGGGGACTGAATTTAGCTTGGCAATATAAAGCTACCTCAGAGAACATGAACGATACAATGCTCTGCATATCAAAGATCAGCCTTCTCCTGAACACAATACAATGGCCCACGGCTGCAACTGGATGATTCAATCAGCCTCTAGAGGGCGATGTTTCATCAATGTTAACTCTTTTCCCAACCGATGCCAATGGCTTGTTATGCTGATAGTTCAAGTGGAAAGACTGATGAAAAAATAACAATAAAAAGTGTTGGGTATTTTGACAACCTCCCAAACTAAATAGAATGAAGTTTGCCAGATGCAACAAGCTTGGAAAAACAAATTGATTTTGGCCAGGGAAAATTGAAAGAGACGCTTTAAAAGAATCAAGGATCAACTATATAGATCTCAGTAATAAGGGAATTAAGTATATTGTAAAGGAAAAATGTGTTTCTTCATACAGCACACTAAGGTCATTTGAAAAGTTACTTGCCAAGACAGAATTCATAGCCTTTAGGTCCATATACATCACTGACCTCCCCTTTGACCAGCTATAATCTACTTGGATAACCTCATGGTAAAGCCCCCACATCGCACAGACAAACAGTCAAAACAGCAGAGATGCTCCATGACCAAGTTCAGTGATCTTTCTAGTCAGATGTTGTCAAGTCATTCTTAACAGGGCAGAATGTCTACTATAGTTCATGGCTATCTTTTCCTTATTTTTATTCACACACAAAAATGTACTTTTCATACAAGTTGCCCTTTTATCCTAAAAAAGTTGGGGAGCTGTAATATTGATTTTCAATGAACTGAAATTCATGGAATGAATATTTGTAATGGAACCAATAAGCATGAGTCAATTACAGAGATTTCACATCACAGAGTAGAATTTTCTTTAAATAAATTAAAAGAGGATGAAATCATATAATGGATACAAGGCAAGATTTTTCTATATGGACAAGATATCCAGCTGAACGTAATTTTCCTAATATTTCTTGTATAATTCATTAGTTTTATATTTTTAATGAGTACTTGTAAGCACTATTTATATGTTAGTATATTTTTAGCTACTGGAGATGGTTTGTTTTAAACTGCTATTGTACTCACCATTTAAATAATGATGAAATATGTTATTGATTATTGATGTTTCTGCTGGTTGTAACATGCATTTGAACAAAGGAACATGGTATTTAAATAATTAAAATGAAAGTAACTTTTTTCTGGTCACAGGGACAAAATAGATTTAAATAAGTAAATGCAAGTCATATTTGTAAGGCTTTTCAAGCTTTTTAATTGGAATGCTTGTTGTAAAGAGCATTGGGCTATGTTATTGGGATCCTGGAACCTCCCCTCCCCACAAATAAGGCACTCAGGGATGACAAACATGCCCTCAGCCACATTTCATGGCATTTGTCGGTTCCTTACACCATGTAATCTATGTTTATATCTTTTATTAGAAAAAAAAATCAATAGGAACTAACATGCTATAGAGGAAAGCACTAGCCTCAAACCTAAGTTAGATTTCCAGCAAAGCCCAAGGGATTTATAAAATAATGTGTGGTGCAGTCCAGTGCTGTGTTTGCCTTCTAGTAAATAGGTGCTTTGAGACTGGCCACAGCCCCCTTGGCAACCATTTTGTGAAAATGCCTGCCACATGATCTCAAACTTCCAACTGTTCCCACTGGCTCCAAGAGGTTAGAGACCCCTGATCTGAATGTTGCTCGCATTTTGACAATGCTAGAGACTTGCTCAGGGTATATAAACTCAGTCATTCTTTATAACATGTGAACTACCACTGCATATTGAATGAAATCATAAATTTTACTGGCCTAACTCAATCTTAGCTTCCTTTTATTATTTTATTGAAGCTCTTTTCACAGTAACTAGTTTTGAAAGGCCTTGGAATTGGTTTACTACATGATACCCCTGGGGAGTTTCTCAAGTAATGCTGTTGTACCTTTTCATGAGGTCTCAAAAGAGGTGACAGCTCAAGAAAAAAAAAAGCCCAGCTGTGGTTTTATTTCAAACAAACAAGAACAAACAAACTGGCATACCTGCTCTGACAAGTTGCCGCTGCTGTATTTTTTAGACATTCTTTTCTTCATGGTTTCTTTTACGGATTTCACCTTCTTACCAAGGGAAATGCGGGAAGTCGAAGGGGATTTGATCACTTCTTTGTAGACAAAATCTCCATCCTTGCCCTGCCAAAAGAAAGGGAGGTTGAAACAAAGAGCAGAGTTTCCCACCTTCATCCTTCTCTGGCCATCCTCAGGCTAAGCATATCTAACAAAGACTATTCAAATTACAGCATTCCCCAAACACATTGTATATTGTTCTTCTGACCAGGCCCCTTTTTCCCAGGAACCTGTGTTTCCCCTTAGACAATATCTGTCCTATTTTCCATGGCTATCAGAAATTCCTCTCACTGGGGTAAGTAATGGAAGAAAGGACAGTCCGTTACAGCATATTGACTACCCGATGATGCTTGTCTCCCAATTCTTAAGCCATCACTTAAAACGTCATTGTGAATTATTATTCATCGCCACGTGGTATAACAGTCCTGACTGGCATTAAGCCAGAATTACCCATTACATCCAAACTGGGACAAATGTCACCACACAGCCAATATATTCAAAACTGGCCATCTATATTGATTTTAATGTCATAGTCGTAGGCAGAATGCTAAATAACGTGTCAGTCCTGCATGCATGTGTTTTTATTTAATAACACAAATGGTATCATCCAATAATTTTCCGTAAGTATATCCTCTGCCAAATCCTGGAGAGAAACATTACAGTTGTACCCAACTCATACGCTCCTTGTATGAAAGTCATTTGCATCAATATTGCTCAATATATATTGTTCTTCAACTAACTTTCTTTTTGCTTGTCCTTTTTAAATATTTTGGAAGTTATGAAAAACTATTTGAAATGCAGTTCACATCCTGTATCTTGTTACTTGCACATTAAGATCAGTTTTCAGAATACTCTTGTTTTTTTGGCTGAGATGAATGTTTGTTTATAAGGATAACTGTGTCCTGCCTGCCTAAATTCTATGTAGATTTAACTGACCATGGATAACCTCAAGCATATTCATTTGAATACTTCCCCTGGCGGCAGTGTTAATATAGTCACATGATGCTCAATTTTTGTTTTGTTTTCCAGTTGCAATGTCAAAGGCTGCCAAGTAAAACATAACGCTGGCCTTGGGATGAGATAATTTCTCTTTCTGGGTCACTTGTGGTAATATCCCCACCAAGAAAAGTTATGGATATTGAATAGGAAAAAAGAACATCCAATTAAGATTACAAGACCTTAAAGCAATAAGAGGAAAGGAGAATGGTCAAGAAAGCTAAGAACAACTGGCAAGAAATGCAACTAGAACCATTTTACATTAACGACTAAAGCATTTACAAACTGGACCAGACCAATTCTGATCCAACCAGACCAAGTCCCATATTGCCAGAATTCAGTTGCCTTTGGAAGTTTACATGGCATGCAAATGGAAAGACCTATAATAACCCTGAAATACCCATCCTTGGTGAATTTGCCATTCATACCACTGGCCATGACTCTTGATAGAGATTTCCAAAAATTAATGCATTGCTTGAAGAAGTGTTTCTCTTTGCAGTTCTGGAACCTAATGCAGAACAGCTTAATATAATGGCTTTATGTTCCACGATGGATGGAAAGAGACAGATTCCTAACTAGAGAGATGATAGTAAAACAAGGATAGATAGATGATTTTTGTTTTAAGTGGCGGGGGGGGGAGCTCCAAACTCTGGCAAGAACCTGCTCGCTAGTTATTATTCTGAACTCTTCATATGTGTGTGTTCTAGAGATCCAGCCTCCTGCAGCTGTGCTTCACCCCCACCCTCCAGAGACTTTCCATCTGGCCAATGTTCCAGCCCAGATGTTTTCAGAGACATTTCCCTTTCTCATATATACAGAGATCACTCTCTGGCAATTCAGGAACTCAAAGGTTTGGATTTACTTGGACAGGAGAAGGATGTGTTTTAGTAATGGAATCACAGATTTAATTTCATTCCTCTCTTGCCTGCCCTAACAAATCCCAAAATGCTCAGCAAAACCACAAAATTGGCTCCTGGAGCAGGAAAAACCAAACTACATACAGAAGAAAGAAGGGCAGGAAAAAATGGAAGGGGAAAACACAATTTCAAAAAGCAAACAAAAGAACATCATATCATAGTAGTTCATCAGAAAGTCTTGCCTAATGTTAAAGGGATATTAACATTTCAGAGTGAAACCATACATCAGTAACCACTTCTGAAAATATGATTCTGTGAACACCACAAAGCCACATGGGTGAGTTGTCATGCAGCACAAAAGGCAGCAATACTTAGAGCCAAGTGGATGATTTGCTGAGAGGATGTGATCAACTCCTCCCCCCCTTTTTTTTAGTTCAAGGCACCCAGAGAATCCCCAAATCAGATCAGAAAAGCGCTGCTTTCCACAACTTACTTTTCTTGATCTGCATCTCCCTTGTACCCTTACAGGTGAATTTGTTTCTCACATGGTGGGAACATATATACATAATATAAATACCATTCCTTCTTTGGTTCTTTCCTGCTCTTCCCATCTGTCTAAATCCTGTCCGTTCCCCAACCCACAGTTTATTTGAATAAGCAATTCATTAGCAGAAAATCAAAAAGAAAGGTTTTAGACATAACTTTCTATTATGGCAGTCCACAAGAAATGCAAATAATGCTCTTGCATTTTTTACTTTCTCACATTATTTATTTTATTGTTGGTTGAGCATTTCCAACTTCAGATACCTGCAACACAAATGAATGATTATGGATTTTTAAAAGTTGCTTTGATTTTTACATGTGAACTGCAATTGTTTTCGGTTTCTTGTGGAAGTTGAAACAGACTTACAGTCAATAACGTGAAACTGGCAACAACCAGGAAAAGTTTAATTTCTCTGTTCCTGTTCATCACACAGGGCCAATCGTATGTGTCAGTCCTTCAAGAAATAAACATGGTGATCCTAGTTGCTTAGTACTACTGCTAGTGCTATCGCAATGATCAAAGGGGCAGCACTAATGAAAAGGGCAATCTGGAAAGATGATTCAGGCAATAGCATCTTACAATTGAATAGAACCCTACATTTTAAACTGGAAGTTCTCACAAGAGAATTCTTGGCTCAGTCTTATCTATTAGCACCAGACAACTTGGAAACAACTCAATTCACTACTGAACATTTTATGAGTGTTATAACCTTCCCAAGGCTTTTTAAATGAACATAGCAGGGCAAAAATGTATACAGGATGGAGCCACGCTCTCTACATTCTCACATTCTCTTTACCTTTCATCCCTGCCTTTCGCCAGCTTTGTGTTCAGCTGGAATATTTGAAGAGGAACTGTATATTGGCTGAGACATCTGAAGGGGAACTTCCCTCACATTTGAGTTACGGCCTACTATGTTCACTGAATCCAGGATTATTCAGGCCTCCTCAGAGTGATTAGAGAGAGAGCAACAGTAGAATAAACAGAATGTGAAAATTGGACTAGCATACTACACCTCAATACCTTTATTTATTTATTTACTGTATATTTCAAATTTGTCACCGCCCATCTCACTGCAGAGTGACTCTGGACGATTTACAGTAAAAACAGAATAAACATTAATTAAAATATGCTAAAAAACAAACTTCCTATATGATACTTCCAGAAGGCTGATGTTAATTAGGTGTTAATAAACTCAGGGAGCATCGGGAAGGCACAAACCATCCCCAGGGTCGACTGTATCTTTCCCCATGCAAGTTGGCAAAGCCAAGTCTTCAATTCCCTCTGAAAAACTGGGAGGGTAGGGGCCCGCCTCACCTCTGGGAGGAAAGTATTCCACAGGGTGGGGGCAATGGCAGAGAAGGCTCTCCTCCTAGGACCCGCCGGTCGACATTCTCTCACCGACGGGATCCGCAACATGCCTTCTCTGCCGGACTGGGTGGGGCAGGTCGATGTAATGGGGGTGAGATGGTCCCTCAGGTAACCTGGACCCATGCCATGTAGGGCTTTAAAGGTGATAACCAACACTTTGAATTGGACCCAGAAACAAATTGGCTCCAGTATACTTTTAATCAGCTTATTTTGGTATACTTTTTTTCAATGGATGGAATAACTTGATGGGGAGGATGATTTTCACTCATCTGATCCTCTTGGTTAAGCTAAGTACCCTGGCTGGCCAATAACTAAAACCATGGCAGACATGGTTGTAACAGTTGGCTTTTACTAGCTATCTTATCTTTCTTGTAGAATAAATGCTAGTGCTTTGTAGTTGCCTAGGAAACACCTCATTTCACCTGTCCTCATGTTACAATTCTCATATGTAGAAAATTGTTGTTGTTTAGTTGTTGTGTCCGACTCTTCGTGACCCCATGAACCATATTGCGCCAGGCCTTCCTGTCCTTCACTGCCTCCCTGAGTTTGCTCAGTTTCATGCTCAATGTCGAAAATAGTATCTAGCAAATGAGAACCTTGAGAAAAAGAAGACAGAATTTCTGAGTGGTCACAACGCTGATCGTAATTTGTGATCTAATTCTAACAAAGATTCCTGCTTGCCATGCAGACTGACAAGCTTCCTCTGAGCTGAACTTTTATCCTCTTTGAATCTCAAAGACTGTGTGTTCTACTGCTTTCTAGCAGTACAGTCCTTGTCACTCTCACAATTCTATGACATTCTGCTACATATCCTCCTTTTGAATACAAGAAAATTAAAAAGCATAATTTAAACTATTCCAAAGTACAAAATGTTGCTCAGAATTACACAGAATATTGCCTGGTATTAGTGTTTGCAGAATAATAAGCATGTAATATTTGGAAAGACACTTTTGGATATTCATTTAGTGCTAATTATTTTCTCTGATATCAATAAGTGGCTGATATAATCAAGAGCACCAAACACTTAACAATTATTATGCCATGATGTGTCTATACCTACAAAGATCAGAATAGTGCAATCTGTGACACTCTATGGAAGCAGAAGTTGGACTTTCAAGAAGCAGGATAGAAAGAATATTTTCACTTTTGAACTTTGAACTTGGAGAAGACTCCTGAGAATACCATGGACAACCAAGAAAACAAGCAAATGGATCATCAAACAAATCAACCCAGAGTTCTCACTCAAGGCACAAATGACCAGGCTCAAATAATCCTATTTTGGACACATTATACAAAAACCTACCTCTCTGGAGAAAGCTGTTATGCTAGGAAAGGTGGAAGGAAAGAGAAGAGGACAACTAGTGGCAAGGTGGATGAATTCATTTACAGGGGCGACGGGTGCACTGTTGGAATACCTGAAGGACCAGGTTGGGGACAGATTGTCGAGAAAATCTATCTATGTGGTCACTATGAGTTGACACTGACTTCATGGCAGATAATCAGTCAATCAATCATTAAGGTGTTTGTCATTGTTGGCAAATGATGTCTTTTGAAATGCAATTTAAAAGTCTGAAGAAACAGCTCAGTCTGTTCTAATTGAAAACTGATGTTATCCTCTCAGATCATATAGCTACTTTTCTAGCAAATCTCACTACATTTTAACTTTGGGGACACTTTACAAACACCACCATTGGGCTGTATGAATGTATCTTGTGACTGAATGACATACTCACAATCTGATCTGAACTGTTTCCAATGTGCAATGAACGATTTGCCAAATCAAAGCCACCAAAGCTGCAGGTTCTCTGCGAAATAAGGCAAATTTATAACACTTTACTACAAAATCAGTATGGAATCAATTATTTTCTAGGGTAGAGAAGACACTAGAGAAACTACTCAATTGTACAAATAATTGCAGCAAGCATAATTTGATTAGAAAATTAAAATGTTCTGGATTATGTTCATGCATCATGTCCCCTCCCTGGTCTTTTACTAATTATTTTATTGCTTCATACTGAGATCAGGATGCATCATAAAGGAGTATTAAAAATATTCCCTAAGTGAGGAATAGTTTTACATAACCAGGTGGGGTTTTTTTTTTTGGTGTTAATTGGTACAGAGTATTAACATCAACGACAACAAAATGTTTAACTTGCATGGTACTGGAAATAGACAAAAACTTTGAAATTGTAAGTATCTACTCAAATGGACGATCACTCAATGACATCTTCAATCTCTCAACAAATTACAATTTGCCTTTTCAGCAATTCTGTATCTGTAACTAAGTCTTGTATGGAACAAAGCAGCTTTCGTGCTACTACAAGAGAGAGTACAGAAGATGATATGCACAGTGGCATAATTTAGTGGAATTAAATTAGAGGAATGAGTTACTCTCAGAGCAGCATCTCAAGTGAGAAACACTGACGTTGAATATAATCGTTCTGCTTGCCTAAACAGGTCAGCATAATGACACTAATTTTCTTTTAAAAGCTGAAAAGCCCAGCCAAATGAAACCATATTTACTTGGCCCTTGTGATGATCCTCATCCATAAAGTGTACATTATTGAAAAGATACTAGCCCTTTGGAACCCAGTAGAGTTGCCTAGCTCCCTTTCAGTTCTACAAAAGAAATGTTTGCCTTTTCTAGAAATAAATTGGCCTTTTATTTCTGTGTCTTGATCTGTGCATTTACATCTTGTCCTTCAACCTTATTCCCTCCTTTTTTCTTTATCTTATAAGAAAAACAACAACAACAGAAACTGGGATATTATTATTATCCTCCAATATACTTTGTAACCAATAAATACTGAATGTGTAATATCTCATGCCTGTTACCAATTAATAAATTACTAAAAGCTGATTATAAACTCTATCAGACAACCTATATGAAGTACATTTTTATCCTTATCAAGCAAGCCTTTGCTGTTGAACATGTAATTGTGGTTCTTCCCTGAGAACATCCATTTAACAAAAAAGTCAACAGCAAAGGACTGCTATAAGAGTTTTAAAAACTTAAGTCAGAAAGTTTATACCATCTTTTAATATCAAGCAAAGATTACATTTGGGGGTCTTTATGTTTGTGTGTGAACATGTATACAGACAGTGAGCATGTATGACACCAGAACTCACAGTTTGGCATGGATGGCATATGGAATCATACATGCACACACAAAAAAGTCACAGCTAAAAGTTGCTTTTTGCAATATGCTAGAATATATTTCAAGGAGCTGTACTGTTACGCTTGCTATGAAACATATAGTTCATGGCTTCCAATTATTTCACAAAAAGCATGCCAAATAAAATCTGTGGATGATAAGACTGTAGGCTATTAAATGAAATGATCATGCACATACTTTAAAAGATCTAGGCATGCCTTGGCCACTAAAATAAATTTAAATGCCCAAAACATATGTAAAAGCAAGACAAGTAATCAGTCCTACTGACAGGGGATGCCATAGCTCCTGAGGTTGCAGTAAACATGAATTATGAGCTCAGAAGAACAGAGTGCAGAAAAGGGCCTAAAATTCACAAGCAGAGTATTAAGCGTCTGCTCTTTGGAAAAGAAGGAAGTGGTTAATCAAAGTTTTCATATAAAAAAAAAATAAGCAAAGAGACATAGCTTTTTCTCCAATAGTGCAATCCAAAACATCCTAGATATTAAAGAAGAACGTTCAGCTCCCTGCTACCAAAATTTTAAGTAATACACAGTGAAGAATAGTAATTGGGCTTACAATTAAATCATTGGCAGGATGATAAAATGTCAAGTTCTTTTAAGATAATTTTATTGCCTCTTATATAAGTAATAAGTAACATTATGTACATTATGTCTACTAAAATTAAAAGTGTATCACCATCTGAAATGTTCTCTACATACCATCTTCATCAAAGAAATCCTCTTAATAAAATACAATACAAAGCAGGGCAGAATCAACTGACATACAAAGCAAAAAGGATAAATTATTCTAGAAAAAAATTAACAGCTTTACAGTGGCTACTAGCCAAATGCAGCCATGGCTTACAAGTTAGCAAAAAAAAAAAAAGGTTTTGTCAGTCAGAATCAGCTCCTTTTTTCTTTTTTCTTTTAATTTCTTGGAACTCTAGTCAAGATTGCCTAAACCTGAGACCTTGGTTCAAAAATACAATCCAGCTATGAACTTCCCAGATGGCTTCAGTAAATCCCTGGCTCTCATCTTCATTTTCCTATCTCTGAGCTGGGAATTAAACATTTCACTTTACAGGGCAGTTATGGACCGCAATCCTAAACACATTTGCCAGGGCAAAGGATCTGGACAGATCGTTGCCTGGTATAAATTAAGTGTGGCAATCTTTTTTTTTTTTTAACTGAGAAGCACATTTTCTCAGGATAAAGTTGTCAATAGCTACATAATGTGATGATGGATGGATCCTCAGCTAAAAAAATGGGTGGGATCACTTTTTTTCCTCTGTATCTCTTCCTTCTTTGTGCGTGTCCTATTCATTTATCCATTAATTTTCTCTTCAATTTACTGCTTTCATTTCTCTCTTACATACACACAAATACCTTCTTTCTCCCTCCCACTACATCTAGTCAGCATACAGAGATAAAGAATATGCTGAGATTCTAGTGTGAGTCTCCCCACTTCTTCCAGCTATGATGAATCATAACATTTAAAGGAGTTAGTGGCGCAGGGTACCCAGGAATAAGATTTCCCCACACCACCAACTCACCACCACCACCACCAGCTTGGCAGCTGGGAAAACCACAGTTATGCTGAGATCATGATGCATGAATTACTTCCCCTGGATAGTGTCATCTGCAGCATAATGAGCTGTTTGGTGGGCTTGCAGCCTTGCAACTGTGGCAAGGAAATCAGGGGAATGCCTCTCCTCACCTTCTCTTCTCCAGTGGAATCATCTTGCTGCAAGTCTGCCTACAGGGCTTGAGGAAATCAGAATTTGTTAAGGAGCAAAGACACTGGCAGAGGCTTAAGGTGGCCTGCACTGATCAGAAGGGCTCTGAAGAAATATGGGAGTCAGCACAGAAAGAAAAAAAACCATACCAGGCACATATGAGATATTTGGGAAGATACAAAAAGTATCAAAAGAGCTGGGATGAAGTTCCTTCTCTAGTTTCATCTATGTAGTATTTCTATTACTTTTTCCTTGGTTAGGAAGGATTCACAGCATTTTTTCATCTGTCATATGGAGTCAATTTAAGAGAAGACATTCCAAACCATTATATAGAGGCAATGGGTGGACTTTTTTGTCATCTTAGTAGGGTAGAAACATGTATTGTGACATACCAATACTAAAATCCTATACCTGTAAATCTGAAGCACACCATTCTCCCCTGGATGGGCCAGACAGCCCCTTCAAGCAGCATTTGAACCATCCCACAGTTCCTCTCTCAAGAACCTATCATCTGTGTAACCCTGTGCAATTGGCACTTAGCTAGAATTATATATTTATTTCTTCTTAATGACGTTAATTCTTGAAGTATTTCTCATATATTTTAAAAAAATCGAACATGGAACATAGAAGCCACCTTCGGTCTGAAAATGTACATCTTGCATTTAGATGATCCAGATTAGAAGAGGCAAGTGTTTCTCCTTAAAATGTCAGTTTAGAGAGAAGGAACGAGAACAGTGTGTCCCAATATTTATTAGAACATCTCATTGGCAAGTAATTGGGAGGGGGCTGAGGAAAGAGAAGAGAAAGCCAATGAAATGTTAAGCTTTTAAAACATTATGATGAGAAAAAAACAAGCAATGCTGACTGCAACCTCATGGGAGCTTGTGGCCACCTTTGGTGAAAACTCACAGACTTTTGGTGGATTCTCAAAAGAACCCTTTTAGTACAGCGATCCACTGTAGCAGCCCACTTCCTCTTTGCCGCCTCCTCCTCCTCCAGTAGGCACCGCCTCAACTCCTGCTCTTCACTTTTGCTCAGAGTTCTGTCAGTAACAGGCCGCACCAGATGTGATAGGTTGAGGTGACTGTACAGGCTTCTTTCCACCACATATGTGATATTGAACTCGCTGACTGAATTGCGCCCTCGAAGCCTTCTGTTTGAGAAGCCACAGCTTCCACCTCTTCCTATCCCCTTGGGTTTGTGATGAAACAGCTGCAGATCGCAGATGGAAGGCGATACACCTTTCCTAGCAGGACGCTGACAGAGAAAAGCTCTAGAACATGAATAATTAGGATCTGCCTTTTTCAGCCGGATCTGCTTCCTGACACTCTGGATTTCCTCCAAAGATACCAGGACATGATGTTTGCATCTGCTGTCATAAAAGCAAATGCTTTCTTTACTTACCCCATGACTGAGAGAGCCAAGGTTCTTCATTTCTCCATCTGTCAAAGAGCGGCAAACTTTTGGTATTTTCTCCTCTTCTGGATAGGAAAAGAATGTCCCAAGCTTCTTTGGGGGTTTTATAAGGCCACGACTATCAGATTTACTGAAGGTCTTAAGCAATTTCCTGTTCGTACCCCAAGTGTCCAGGCTGCTGGATGAAGGAGATATGGTCAGTGAGTCACTTTCATCATCTGGCTGTTTGTCAGAGGAATTATCCAAAAAGAGTTGTTTCTTGTGAATTCCAGAGTAAAGTGCCGATCTGCCATCTGGTCCTGCAGGAGTGTCAAGGGAGTTATCATCCACACCTGAAAGGGAAGATACCACTAAATTAGTTCTCAGTAGCTCAAGCAATCTGAATGGAAGGAAGGTAGGAAGGAAGGAAGGAAGGAAGGAAGGAAGGAAGGAAGGAAGGAAGGAAGGAAGGAAGGAAGGAAGGAAGGAAGGAAGGAAGGAAGGAAGGAAGGAAGGAAGGAAGGAAGGAAGGAAGGAAGGAAGGAAGGAAGGAAGGAAGGAAGGAAGGAAGGAAGGAAGGAAGGAAGGAAGGAAGGAAGGAAGGAAGGAAGGAAGGAAGGAAGGAAGGAAGGAAGGAAGGAGCATAGCCCAAAGGGAAGACTTATCAATCTTGTTCAACCAAATAAATTTGGGGATAACTTAATAGTTGAAGAACAGAAGAATCTGGGCACAATCAAAGAATGAAACAGATTCAATAGAAGCAACATTGGCATACTGATGTATATCTCAACAGTATTAGATGATTTCTGGAGAAGGACAAATCTCTGCAGAAAATATATTAACCTAACTTAAAATAATTAAACCCCAATCCTAAGAATACCAAAAAAAAAAAATCCCATTCAGTAGTAAAAAACTGAAAGAAATAGAATTCTCTATGCAAAAATAAATGCAATTGTGTATATATAATTAATAAAGTAGAATGAGAAATGCATAGCAAGATCAAAGAAAAGCCAATATGATGGTGGGAGTGCAGATACAGAAGAGTCAATTTATGAATGAAAGGGGAATGCAGTGGGTTACTTCTCCAAGAGGAAATGATATATCAATTTTCAAATATTTAAAGGGATGTAAAAAGGAGACAGCAGCAGCTCTGTATATAGCCTGTTTTGCTTCCAGCACACACACAGGTGAACTAGGCCAAAGAAGTGAATTTAAAATTAAAGGTAGGTAGGTTGGGCTTAAAATATTGCCATCAATTGTGAATTTATTGCCTGTGAAGTTGGAAAACAGTGGACAAAATTTCTGCTAGAGGGAGTTTTCATACAGAGCATGCCATTTTAAGTAAGAAAGGGTGAAACTAGGAAATTAGACCTGTTGCAAGTCTATGATTACATGTAGTTAAGGAAAATGATAGGTAACATAACCCATCTTCTCTTTCTATACCTACAGTCAAGCTGAATATAAAAAGTCACATATGAATAGAAGTACTTGGAAAGCTATTTTTTTTTAATTCCTTTCCTCCTCCCCCTACTTATGAGTAGAGGGGGAAAACCCATATTATGTTATGGCATATTTATCTACTTTGACAGTAGACCAAGATACAGCAGGGAAGGAATCCAACAAAATAGATTTAATATTTAACTTTTAACTTGAATGTCCCAAATGTTTTGATTAAAGTCAAAACATGCAATACATTCACTCAGTGTTCTGTTGTGTGCTAACTTGATTCTCCTCTCAAGTAAAATCCTAGAAAGTGTGTACTGCGTTTCATCAACTGTAAAAAGGCCAATGTTGTACTTAGAAAGGTCATAGCAGAGAACTACAAGAAATGCCAACATGTTTATAGAGTTGTAAGAGCTACAACTCATTGTATGAGGAAAAAAGAAACACCCACATTCTTCAGATGTTGGCTAGGAGAAGAGCAGATAGCTAGAAAATTAAAACATACTAAAAATTAATATCCACATATTCACATTACATCAGACTAAAGCCTATCTAAATGAAGACAGTTCTTTACATCTTTGCATAATAGCATCAGAGATGTGCCTATGCGGACTTCTCCAAAAAAGGAAGGCCAGAGTCTAGGGACAGTCATGGCATTGGACATTTGTGGGAGAGAGAAAATAACGGGCATTGTATCACAGTAATCTAGTCCCAAACTGTTCAAAATGATCGCTCAGGATTGTGCCTGAGGACAAACTGGCAGCTGGTGGAGTTGAAAATAGATGCTTTGTGGCCCCTACGACTGGCTCCAGTTCAGATGCAACATTTTGAAGCAGGCGAAGGCTGAAACGCCCACTTTTGATTTGCACTGCAGTCATCAAAACAATAAGCAATTAAGGCAATTATCACCACAGCAAATGAGGATATAATAAGTGCATTGGTCTCAGCTACATAAAATGCTTTGGTTAGAGGTCAAATCTGGACATCTACATTCTAGGATGTTCTGGAATCAAACCCTTACTACAAATCTGGGTCATCCCAAGACAGTGTATCCACCTATGTCAAGCTAATTTTTATTCTCTGTTGATCTTTCTTCCTAGCCCAAGTATGGATAAGCCTGCATAACCTTAATTTATTATTTTAAAAATAAATTTAAAAAAAAGATAAGAGGGCACAATAAGAGTTCATAGTAAACCAGTATAATAACTGAGTATGGAACAAACTTTCTTTGCCTTTGACTTCAAGAGTTTGGAAAAAGGCCAGAGTTCCTTATAAATGTTTATTATCACACACACATCACATCTACATCAGGTCTTTCTTTTCCTTGCCTGAGTTTAAATGGGTATACCCTAATTAATTGTTGCAGTAAAATAATATTAAATGTCCATTTGTCATGCTACAGTTTAGTTATTTCTAAACCAAATCAAAATAAATACTATAAAAGTGAAACTCTCACTCTACTTTACTTTAAAGGGTTAAAATCTCTCTCTGCCATGGAATCAATTGTGGCATTCTTTGACTTCCATTCAAGTGATACATATCTATTTTCTGACAAACTCATCGTTCCCCACTGAAAGAACCATTTGCCAAACTTGAAGGGTGTGGTTTCAGCCAGGCAGATGTTTCAGCATCCCATGAGAAACCCACTGGCCTTCTAACCTATGGGATAAGGCCCGCTTGCATTTTCTCTTACACTTTTCACCCCCCTGAACAACACGGCTCATTTACAAGTCACATTTTATGGCTTCAGAACTTGCAGAAAAGAAGCAAGAATGAAACCAAGTAACAGCAGCTTCAGAAAATCTGGTTTTTACCAGAAAGGCAATGTATCTTCTGCTCCTACCGGTGCTCTGCTCCCCACACGCTCTTAAGCTGATACTCATTACTGTATTTCATTAATGCAAAGGTCATGGAACATCAGTCACCACTTGGAAAAACATGTACCCGCTATGCAGATTCTGCTACTGTACTGCTCAAAAGGGCTTTCAAATGCAGAACTAAGAGCGCTAATGAATTTGGTAGTGAAGGTTACAGATCAGGGAGCCCTTTCCCTTGGTACAATACTAAAAACGATTGCCTTTGGACTCGTCCAGATTCAGGAGGAGTTCTGTTTGGGCAATAGGGCCTTCTGCTCCCATGTGCACTCCCAGAAAAGCCACTTTGGGATTGCAGGCTTTTCTAGAATGGGAGGGGAGGGGGGAAGGTGGTGAAAATTTGTCTGGTATAGTCCATCCACCCATTAATAACAACCTCTATATAGCCTCTTCACTTTGGAGAGGAGGAGGAGGAGGAGGAGACCCAGCCACAAAAAGCCAGGGCACATAATGGTACCTAGAAAACAGAGTACAATAAAACTCAGCCATAAAATTACACTGCTAATGCAAAGAGCTATTGTGATCCAGCTGATTAACTTGAGCACACTGCATAATAGAATTAATTCAGATGACAACCAAGTTCCAGTCACCCCTTCGTTCCTGGTGCAAATCTTTCTTCTTCTTCCTCTCAGCCAAGTTTTTCATACACTTTTCCAAGATGGCACCCCCACCCTCCCTCTTCCACTGCCCCATTCTGATCACTAGCCAGCATGTCTTCCCTTTAAGGATGCTAATTCTTACCTTCAGTGCTGGACTTTTTAATTTCTTCCACTCGAATTAATTTCTTTCTCACTCTGCGAGTTGAGTTGACCAACTTATGCAGTCTCTTAAACTTCACCGATTCTTCTGATTCATCATCTGATTGCTCTCTTGACTGGCGAGGAAGCAAAAGGAAATGTTAGTTGAGGAACTGCCGCACAGCTCAGGCACTGTCTGAACTTAAGGCAGAAAAGCGTCTCCTTTTCATCTTCTCATCCTGAATATTCACAATTCTCTCTCTCTCTCTCTCTCTCTCACACACACACACACGCTTTAAAAAGAACGGAACATACCATTTTCACTTCTAAATTAGCACAGAGTCAGGTCTCAGGCACCAAGGCACGTCCCAGTCCTCATCCTCCTCTCTGCCTCTGCACATTGTGTAATAATAGCTGTCTCCACGTTGCCTTCCTACACAGCCCAGGCAAGACACTTTCCTAGCACTCTTTGAGCCCTGCTAGCTAAGCTCCTGTGGTTTGGGTCAGGCAGTGGTCTTGTCTGGCCTGGCGAAACTTAACATTGAAAAACCTGGTTAGGAACTGCTTTTCTGTGCTGAACTGAAACACTATCATTGACTCCTTTTTTCCAGACTTAACGAGGAAAATCAAAAACAGCAACAGCAGCAAAAATGAGGAGGGGGGAGGGAGAGAGAGAGAAGGAAGGGGAGGGAAAGGAAGGGGGAAAGCTCATCACTCCACTCTGCTTATTTTATTACTTATAAAGAGCCATAGAATTATCTTCCCTTTCCCTGTCCCGGGCTTCCCATTCTAAAGATTCTCAAGATGGGCTGTTAATGCAGAGCGAGCATTCCTCAGGAACTGACCAAAGGAAAACTTTGACCTTTACAGGCACTTAGTTTAGCCCCTATTCCCCAACATCTCATTTGGTCTCACATCTGATGCTGTATGCTCAGTTCCAGCTGTTTTCCCTCAAGTATCAAGCATTACAGAGACATAAAAAATCCTCCCTCTCCAGCAGCAGTGACACCACAGGCTGAAACAATCCATTCCTTGTGAACCGAATCAGAGCTCTCATTTTCAAGCCAGACCCAGCGCTCAATATGCTACTTCCTCTGTTCGGCCCTGTTTAGAATTTCTGTGTGTGAGAGTAGAAAGGGGGAGACCAAAAGAAAGAAAGAAAGACAGACAGACCGAAAGAGGGGGACTCACTCTTGGCTTTTACAGTACAGAACTGCCACTGTACAGACTTGCATTCCAAGGAGTGGAGAAGATTCCAGCTGGAAGTCTCCAGAGACCGTATCTCTGCCTTTGCTTTCACACACAGCCCTGACCAATTCATCTCAATTCCAGCCTCCAGCTCAGAACCGCAAGAGCAACTTCCTGTTGGTGAACTTCGGGTCATTTAAGTTACCAGGTTGGAATTGGCCATGATTTTCTAGCCATGTTTTCAGCTTGAAAAATAGGCTTTATTTAACAGCAATATATGTAATGTCTGTATGTTTCAAGCTAGCTATGTGGGACAAGGCAAATCAAGTGTCACTTACTGCGCCTTCTGACAGCGCATGGGACTTGGTCCGCAGTTCTTTCGTGATCTTGGTAGCCCACGTTTGTCACTGTCATTTTTGAACTGTGGTGCCCAGAACTGGACACAGAACGCCTACTGGGGTTTGACCAGAGCAGAGGAGGGTCAGACGGTTACATCTTGTGATCTGGATGCCGCTGTTCCACTCTACTGTGCTCTGGGTCAACATTCAAACAAAACTCGGCTTCGCTTTAGCTGAGAATGCGAATTCAGCCATATTGTCCTGCCTGGACTCTAAAATCAGACAGGATCTTTTAAAACTCTTTACAGATGCACTCTTTCTCTTTGCACTTGGATATGTGTGAACATGCATATGTAAGTCAGAGAGAAATGCTCTTCAAGATGCTGTTGCATTGAATACATATGCATTACAGGAAAAGTATGAGGCTGTCCTATGTTAAGTGATTCCCTACACAAAAAGATATTTGCATATTAATAACAAAAAGATGGGGGGAGCATTTTACAGCATGTGGCACTTCAGGCCTCCCACTCAGAGGTCAGAGTGCTTCCAGTTCAACAACTGTGAGTGGTTTGCATCTATGGGCATGCAACTTTCTGCTTCAAAATGTTTCAACGTAGCCAGCAACTCTGTGCCAAAAAGAGGGCCCCACAACATGTATAACCCTCTTTCTGGAAAGCAGTAATTCTATAAAGCGATCTCTTTGCATATCCCAAAGAAGAAAACACATGGAATTGCAATACTGTAAACAGGAACAGCTTGATTTTCAACCACATTGCAAGCCCTCCCCCCTCCCCCAGGCTCCAGGTTTTCATTCAAAAGCCCCTAATGGCTCAAGTCTTAATTATTTTGGCTAATGTCGGATGCAGAAATTCTGTAGTGAATGCTTAAGTGTTTCATTTCTAGTTTCCATGGCAACATTACATCAGATTGCAGACAGCTGGCTCCACAGTTTTAAACCATAACAAATTGACCAAGCTAGTTCAGAAAATTATACTGGCTTTAAAGAGATAGCATGCTATTCAGCTGCCAGCAGAATGGTGCAAGACCAGCGGGGCCCACTTTTGGCAAACAGGCTAAGGCAGACTCTCTTTCCCAGCTTCTTTTGGAACAAGTGCACCGCTGACACATCAGCAATGTTCTAACACCAGCAAAAGTGGGCCAGCTTGGGTCAATATCTTTCCACAACTGCACGGAAAAGCACAGGGAACCAGATCAACAGCATCTGCAGTTATGAAGTTCTCCAACAGTAAATTGAAACCAACTTTTGTCAGATGGTCAGAATCCTCAAAGGCCAAGTTGCTTTGGAAGTCTCCTGTGCTTCCTCATTAACAAAGTGGGATTAGAAGTCAGGAACCTGGCCCAGCTGCTCACGTCATCTTCGTAAAAGATGGACAGCTTTCAGGTTTCTCTGCACGCTCTGACTCCCATTGTATTCTATAACTCAAGCCAAGCTTATTCACATACTGTAATCTGGGGAAGCATGTATTTACTGTCTAAAGAAACAAAACTGCTGAAATTCACATTTTAAAAAATTGATTTATATTTCTTGATCTGTCAGTATTGATTGCTTCTTCAGTCATAGCCTGCTTTCTAAATATGCCAATAAAGAAAGTCCATTCAAGAAATGGTTAATGAACATACCAAATGACTACTTAACTCAGGGATGTTGTGCTAGGTTAACCTTATTTCTTACCTGCATCACAACTAATTTCTCATTTCATAACTATGTGATTACATACAAGAAATAAGCGGATGTTTCAATAAAGAAAACACATATATGTTACAATATGTTTTATTACATATGCATTTATCTAGAGATACAGTTTCAAGTGCATGTTAGGCAACCCTGCTTAAATGGTGTAATTCACTCAGTCTTTAAGTGAATAGAAGCTGTACAAAGTTAAAGACAACCTCTTTTGGCAAATATGAATGCATTCTTACTCTTTATATACAGTTATCTACAGATTCCAAAAGGTGATTGACTTGTTGGGCCTACAATTCCACAAAATTCCACTTTGACCCTCTAAGGCTGTGACTGTTGTTCTGTCTACTTTCAACATCCATTGGTTCTTCTAAGCAGCTGTGTGAGGATTTGAAAAAAAATACAATTCATTCTTACAAAGTAGGAGAAGGCTATTTAAAAGAAAAAGAAAAACACTTCCAGCTAGCAATTTTGATTCTGGCAAACACTGTTAAGAAATGTAAGTTACACAAAACTGTTGAAGTCAAGACAAGACCTGGAAGAACAAGAACAATCTCTGCTAAAATTCGTCCCAAACTATTCAGATCAGCAGATCAGAAACCGTAGATCACTGCAAACAGCTTGCTGAGAAGTTTAGCTGACAGTAGTGTAGACCACAAATCCATAGTCTGGTCAATCTAAAGCTGCCTGCTTTTCAGTCAGCTGGACATTCTATGCCAAAGTAACTGGCTCTGTGATAACCGAAAAATCTGTGGTATTGCACTCACAAAGCCTACATTTCTTTCTCATTTTTAACTAACTTTTAAATGAATTCGTCCAACGTTTTCACAGAGAGGTAGCATTGTTATATGCTTGTGCAAGAGGATATATGGCACCCTCTAGATGTGTTGGAACTGCAGCTCCTGGATTTCTCAGCCACCATGTTTAACCTCTCATGGTTAAAATGATGGGAGCAACAGACCTAACGTATTTGGAGAGTCTAATCATTTATTTGCCTACTTACCTAGATCAGGGCTTGACTGTTACTAATGTTCATTGCCTGTACAAAAACAACCTTCTCTAAGTATCAGATTCAAATTATTCCAGAGGGAAATAAATAGAGAATAATTCCAGAGCCCTATACTGTACAACATGTACTGCACTAGCCATTCCAGATTTCCAAGCTAAACTTGGAAAAAGTCAAAGGATTTGCTAGTCCATTGCTGCCTCTTCTCTTATTTAATTAACTGTAATATTTATCTGTCCCCAAGTAGATTTTGTTGTTGTTGTTGTTGTTCAGTCATTAAGTCGTGTCCGACTCTTTGTGACCCCATGAAC